TAGCTGATGGGGGATGGCCACGGTATTATGCAAGTCGTTAAAAATATTCTTCTTACGGGTAATGCACTGTAATTTAAAAAAAAAAAAAAAAAGGAAAAAAGATTGTTTGCAAATCATGTGGGGATTTGTTTTAATTAAGTGTCGCCTTGTCAGACACACGCTGTTACAGAGGCTGTGAGAGCTGAATTTATCTCTTAATTAGCTGATGAGGTTCCCTGGCCAGAGGAGGCTGGCAGGCACAGGACACATGTGGGGGTGACCCAGGCTGGCCATAGTTTGGATTTTTGTGGAGGGAGGAGAACAGCAGCACAGGAGCTTGATTTACTGCCACGACAGACAAATGAGGAAGTTAACATTAAAAATAAATACCAAACAAACAAAACACCTCAAAAGAGCCCAGCCCCTCGGTCCCAGGCAGGCAGTTGTGGCTTTATCGGGGAATGCACTGTAATTTAAAAAAAAAAAAAAAAAGGAAAAAAGATTGTTTGCAAATCATGTGGGGATTTGTTTTAATTAAGTGTCGCCTTGTCAGACACACGCTGTTACAGAGGCTGTGAGAGCTGAATTTATCTCTTAATTAGCTGATGAGGTTCCCTGGCCAGAGGAGGCTGGCAGGCACAGGACACATGTGGGGGTGACCCAGGCTGGCCATAGTTTGGATTTTTGTGGAGGGAGGAGAACAGCAGCACAGGAGCTTGATTTACTGCCACGACAGACAAATGAGGAAGTTAACATTAAAAATAAATACCAAACAAACAAAACACCTCAAAAGAGCCCAGCCCCTCGGTCCCAGGCAGGCAGTTGTGGCTTTACCCCAGGCTGTGGCTGGGGGACCCTGGGGCAGGGATGGACCCTCTGTCCCCGTGTGGGTGATGGAGCAGCACCCAGAGCAGCACTCAACCATCAGTGGTGCAATGCAGAGCTGTGCAACGGGGTCCCAGGGTCATTAGAGCTGCATTCCTGCAGAGTGCTTGATGTTAAACAGATGCAGACATTACTGCGATAATGTAAAAATAAGCCATGTGTTTGTCAGAGGAAAAGGGACGACCCCACCCACGCTCTTCGCTGCTTAGGGGATGTTGTAGCTCAAACATGGGGACAGCTCAAACCCAGGCAGGAGCTGCTCTCTGATTTACCATCTATGTTTTCCCTCACCCCAGCTGAATCCCAGGTTTGCCATCACTTACCCGGGACTGCAACTAGCAGGGGAGTAAATGCAATGAGAAAGGAAAGCTACTTTTAACTCACTTTAAAAAGAAAAAAAAATACATTTTCAAAGGTCTTTTAAAAACAGGGTTAAACAAGGAAAACTTTGGAGATCAGAATTACAGTGTGGAATTAAGCTTTGGTGAGGAGAGGTTTCGTTTCCTGTTAGTTCTGTTCATGGGCTTATGTTAGTTTTATGAAGTCGTGTGGTGTAATTTATCTGGTCTGTCCTATTTACGGGAATGTTTTAGAGTACAATGTTGTTAGCAGCTTGAAATGCTGCCATGCTCTTGCTTTTTATTTTTTGTTTTAACACTATTCAATGTGAAAAAATTAATATTTGGACTCAAAATACTGAATAGCAAATACGAATGCTAAAAATTTGCAGCTCATTTCAAAATATGGCAAAATTTCCCAGGGAACAGAAATGCTGGTTTGTTTATTTTTTTTTTTTTGGACCAGCTCTGATCTTGCCATGAAGCTGCAATGGGTCTTTGCAGCAGAACTGTCAGTGACTGGGGAGAGGCCACCAGGGTTTGCTGGGGCAGAGCCCCACGTTGATGTTCCACACACATGTCCAAGCCTTTTACAGAGAGAGGAGAACGTCCTCAGGTTTCTGCCTGGGGAAGCTCTTCCAGGTGTAGCTTGCTTTCAGTATTCGGTGTTTTCAATAAAGGTGTGATCGTCTTCAGAGGTACCGGGCTGCAGCCAGCACCGTGGAACCTGCTGCTGGAAAATCCCAGTATGGTCTTCCACGGCTGAAAACTATTCCCAGAACTGTGGGAAGGGGCAAGCTTTAAAAACTTCAAATCCCTGACCTCCCAGGGGGTGTTAGCCCAGATAAGCAGGAGAGATTCCTGGGGAGCCTGCTCTGCCCTTGAGCTCGGGCTGCTACAGTTGTCTGTCGACTCCTATTAAAATGCCAAGCGCAGGCCTGGTTTACTCCTTCAGTGCACCAGAGGAATCTGTGCAGTATTCCAGTAATTAAAAAAAAAAAAAGACATTAATTATTAAGCAGCCGTGTATCTGAGGTCAGTGAGATAACTTAGCCTAAGAGATATAACTGTTTGCAAAACTATTTGTGCAGAACATCTGTTTCTGCAGAGCAGCATGCTGTGGAGGGAAGAATATTTATAAATAAAAAAGTTATAAAATGTTAACATAGGCTCTGGTATGAATAGCCGAACATTCAGATAAAGTAGGAGCCTTATGGGCTGCTTTTCTCAGCCTTTGAAAACCGATGGGGGTTTTTCAACAGTAAAAATTTTTTGACCTTGCCTGTAAAGCCATAGGGTGATCCCAGTCCCCAGAGGGCTGGGCTGGCTTGGGGCAGGAGCTCCAATGACCCCAGGTTTTGCCCTCCTATGGGGTGCCACATCCCCCTGCCCCACAGCCAGGGGCCAGAGCTGCGCAGGAGCAAGGCAGCTGGTCTTGTCCCATTGCATCCCATCCCATCCCGTCCTGTGGGGCAGGGAGAGGGCAGGAGCAGAGCCTGGCCAGCCTCCCCGGTGAGCTGCGAGGCATCCCGGTGTCCTGGGCAGGGAGAGGAGCAGCTGCTCCCTGCATCTTCTGATCTTGTTACCATCCGCTGACACTTAAACCCCTAATAGCTTGTGCAAAATTAGCTTTACTGGGAAAGCGTGTGTACTTTAGCTCTTTGCTCCTAATGCATCAATTAAGGCCCGTGTTCTCTGGGATCAGCACGGGGAGGCCGGCGGGAGGCGAGGGCAGTGTCTGCAGCATCCGGGCTGCAGGCAGGGAAAGGGAAAACTGCCTGGCACTGCCCAGGGCTGCAGGAAACCTTCACCCTGGTGCTCCTGCTCCCAGCCTTCCCCCACTGCCCCCCTGCTCCCTCCCGGCCAGGTGGATATGCCGTGTCTCCCCACAGCTCTGCTGAGGTGAGTGGAGGGGACAGTGGCCACACTCTGGGTGTCTGCACTGGACCCACTCAGCCCACCCACTTGGCATGGGGCTCCGGGGACCCACTGCACAACAGCAGCTTCCAGAGGGAAAAGGAAAGGGCTGTGGCACAAAGGAAATTAGCATAGAAATGTGCTCCCAGACTGTGGGAACCACAAATTATACAACTCAAATGATGTTTCTCGTGTCGCTGCAAGGACTGGCATTTGCAGGCGTGGTTGCCAGTTGTGTGAAGAGTGCAACCTTTTATTTTTTTTTTATTGCTTAAATAATAAAAACTATGCGCTTAAAAAAAAACAAAGCCAAACAAAGCACAACCTTAAATGTATGCCATTGAAATCCTGCACCTGGGATAACAGGGAGATCAAAGAGCAGAAAAACACAAAGGCTCTGGTTTTGCTTTGCCTCCTTGCTCGGCTCATCCTTCTGACTTGAGACTGAAGGGTGGGAGCTGTCTCTTCTGCAGCAAGAACTGGGTTTTTTTCCACTGGCTGTAATTACAGGTCAGATTGAGCTCATATGCATAACGCAATGCAGTTTCCAGCATTAATTATGCATCGTCAGAGCTGGCATGTTAAGCAGAGAAGTGGTGGGGATCCTGGAGGTGTTAAGGAGAGCAATGCGAGGGGAGATGCAGAAGGGCTTCTCGGGTCGCCTGAACAGAGAGTCAAGCCCGTTTGGCTCACCATTTGAGCACTGTATTTGTGTCTGAAAATTAGCTCGTTAACCAGGTTTAAACCCTCCTGTGATGCTGTTGTCCCAGCCAGGCTGAGAGCAGACCCGGGCAGCCATCCCAGTGCAGGGGATGGTCCTGGAGGAGGCTGGTGTTGGGCTGCTCCGTTCCTCTTCCTCAGCACAAACCGGGCTGAAAGCATTGGCCTTCGGATAGTCTTGAGTGAGGGGGGTGCTTGGGGTCAATTACAACTGGGCTCATGGAAAGCTCGTTTGCAGTGGGCTTCGTGCTGCAGTGCTCCTGTGCCTGGGTCAGGCTCTGCTCGGCTTTAGGGAGAGGTAAATCAGTGGTCCAGGCCTCCTGCTGTCAGATGCACAATTAAGTAACTGCATCCTTGCGTATCTGCTGCTTACTGGTGGAATGCACTGCTGAGGATTTATTCTGATCCCCTGTTGAAGGCCTCCACTGGTTTGGGGTAGTTTTTTCCCAAGGGGGTTTTGTTTGGTGCCAGTTTGAACTTTAGAAACTTTAGATTAGATATTTGGAAGAATGACTTTACTGAGAGAGCGGTCAGGCACTAGAACAGGCTGCCCAGGGATGTGGTGGAGTCACCATCCCTGGAGGTATTTAAGAAATGTGTAGACATCGCACTTCAGGGCATGTTCTAGTGCCCAATATTGTTGGTTTGTGTCTGTTTGTGGGGTTTGATTTGGGTTTTTGTTATTATTTTGTTTTGTTTTGTGGTTGGACTCAATGATCTCAAAGGTCCTTTCCAACCATGAAGATTCTGTGATTCTGTGAAAAGGGAGATGCTGTAGAGAGGCTGGGCTCCCTGGAGGAGACCCTGCCTGCTCTCCTTTGGTGCTCCTCCATTTCACAGGGGATAAAGTAACCATAGAGCAGTTGTGGTCAGGCAGCAGCAGCAGTCAACATCAGATAGAGCCAAATCTGTTTCCTGCCTGGTGCGAGCCTGGCAGCCCGGCCAGCTCCGGATGCTCCTGCAGCTGGAGGAGTGGAGGGGGTTTCTCTTGGTCTCCAAATGCCTCAGCAGAGAGCTGGGCACTGCAGCCCTCTTCCTGCCACTCGCTCCTCCTGGCCCTCCCAGCGTGAGCAGCGAGGGCGCTGACACCCAAGCACGGTCTCCAGGGAGAAAAAACAAAGAATTTGGCTACACACGCTCTGAGGACAGCCAAGGATGATTTGATGAGCCAATAATGCTGTTTCCTTGTTTTCAAACTGGACTTCTGAGAGGGTTTTTTTCCTCCTCTGCTTCCTTTTGGCTCCTCCTTGCTGCTCGTGTCTGAGGAGCTGAGAGCGTTGCTCTCTGCCCGTGGCCACCTCCCCCAGCACCAGATGGATGGTGAGTGCAAAAACCCACTGCTGAATCCCAGTCTGTGTTTGCAGCTCTTAACTCTTGGGTCATAGATAACATATGTTTAATGTTACCGTTCTATTATCCCTCTACTGTAGATCTAGCTCTTTTACAGTCCTTTGCATTTCTAGATTTCCAAGTGTTTTACTTGGGTGGTTAGTTCTGATTATCCTTGTTTCCTTACTAGCAAGCTGAAGCAGGGGCAAGTGAAGGGTCTTGTTCCCTGTTGGAGTGGGTCACAGCTAAAGGAAAATACTAAGCTTCCCTTCAGCCACCTCCTGCCCTCCCACTAGCAATCCTGCCTCCACTTTTCTATTAGAAAAGCTCTGCATGGCCAACCACGCTGGGATCAATTCTTCTTTTAAATGAATCATGCTAAAAAATTCATGACACAGGAGCGGAAGGAATATTTTTTCAGAAGAAATCTTGTCTGCAGGAGGCAAGGATCCCATTAAAGTAAACCTTGATCCTCCCCACTTCCTGCAGCAGGCAGAACCTATCAATAATGAAAAAATGCCCTCCTCCTGAAAAGCCCCCTCAGTTCCCACCCTGTGTGGGGTCAGCAGTGCCTCCGCCACCTCTGGGAGATCCTCTGCTGGGGCTACAGCCCATCAGGGTAAAAGCGAGCCCAAAAAGAAGATTCACCTGCCCACCAGCTCCAGGTGCCTCCTCCACCCATACCCATCTGCCCTCCATCCCTGCCCATCCCTGCACCCAGCTGCTGTTCCTCGATGAAATTGCTCCTGGTGACACACTGCTTCCTGGGCAGTGACCTCCCTTCCACCAGGTTCTGCACCAGGGCCACCTCATAGGGCAGGCAGCGAGGCTGCGGTACCCGGCCAGGGGGGTGATGGTGGTAGCCACACACCTAGCATCACATCTGCAGGCATCCAAAAGCCACAGCCTGCTCCTCACCTGCCCGAAGTGGACTTCTCTTACACTTTTCCCTCCCACCGCTGTGGGACTGCACACACACATGCAGTTGTGGAAAGCCCCTTGAGTTTTATTTCAACCAGAAAACACCAGTTTGTAATGCAATGTGAGTACAGAAGGCTGTTTGCACTCCCTGTAGCAGAGCACTTCCCCAACCTTGGGTCTGCAGCCCCTGCCCACTCCTGCCCTTTCCCCGTCCACCCTGTGGGCAGTGTGGCTGCCACCCCAGCGGGTGCTCTGGTGGCACCCCACAGCCCTGTGCCGGTCCCCAACCCTCAGCACTGCGCTTGTCCTGCATCCCCCCCGGCCCAGCAGCGCTGCGTGGCGGGCCCAGAAGTGAGCAATGTATGTAACCAGCAGGAGTGCCTAATTGCTCCGGTTTAATGGCTTTTTAACTTAATCATCCTCCAGATGGAGGGGGTGAAGGGAAGCGCCACTTGACAACACTTGTGAGACGCTTCAGCGCTGAAGCACAGAGGGGTTCCGTGCCGGCGGGCGTCGGGAGGGACGGACGGACGGGCAGTTGCTTCCCTGTGAGTCTATAGGTGACTCACAACGGCACGCACGCCTGGAAGGCTGGCACCTTCCTTCCTTTATGTAACGCTCAGCGTTTTCTCTGCACCTTGGTATCCAAAATGGCTATTTCCTGCCTAATGCCCCTTGCTACAGTGAGCAGTGATGCACCGGGGGGTCAGCAGAGGAATCCCACCAGCATTATCTCAGTGACCATGTCACGGCATTTCTTTGCTGCTCTGCAAAAATTGTGGCAGCCAAAAGGCAGCCTTGCTAAGTGTCGGACGGCTTTTCTGGGGTTGTAACCTTCCTATAACATGTTGCCAGGGGAAAATGGGAACTGTTTGATTTAAATACAACCTTTTCCTAACTTGCCCTGGTAAAGAACACAGGCTCCTAATCAATTTTTCTTTTGATTCAAGTCTTAAAAATGGTTTCTCCAATCAATTATGTTATCGTTAAGAAAGAAAAAAAAAAAAAAAAAGTATATGATTGCAGGAGGATCTGTTTCTAAACCAAGAAGTTGACTGAGCAGTTTTATTGGACTATCCTCTATATTCATAGAAGATTCAATTTTTTTTTTGATTCAAGTTTTAAAAATGGTTTTTCCAATAAATTATGTTATCGTTAAAAAAAAAAAAAAAAAAAAAAAGAAACCACCTCCATAAATCCTCTTGCCTAAGGGATGAAGAGAAGCATGCAGTGGTTTGTTTTCATAGGAAGATTAGTCTTTGCTTGGGGAATGAATCAAACGTGCAGGGACTTTGACTTGGATGAGTTAATCAGGCATTTAGCAATACGGTTTTATAACATGTGGGTGATTACTAATGAACTGCATGACAAGAAGTGGCCAAAACTGTGATTGGCACCAGCAGGGCCAACCCTGCTTACCAGCAGCAGGGTTTGGTAAGGAAGATCTGCTTCAGCATTTGGTGTGACCCTGCCCATAAATAGAAACTCACACATTTATTGCAAGAGCTTCTATATGACTTTAAAGTATGTAAATTTGTGCAGTAAATAATATCACCTGCTTGGGACAAAATGTCTGCACTGACCTCAGGAGTAAAATGGATCTTCCCATCAGTATTTAATGGGAAATTGATGCATATATCTGTATGAATTGGGTCATGCTGCACCCAGCTCCCAGACTCATATGAAAGGCTTTTTGCTTGGTGGGCTGGTTTCTGAAGCCCCCTTTGGGATGGTGTCTGTGTGCTGTTGCTGACTCCCGTGGCAGGTCCTGCCTGTGGTCCAGCTGGGAGGGAGGGTCTGCTGTGGCTGATGCCTGCAGGGAGAGGGCCTGTGCTGGGGGTGGAGAACCGTGGCCACGTTCCCAGTGCTGGTGGCCCAACAGCAGCTGAGCTGCTGAGGGGTCATCTGTGCCAGGAGAAGGCAGGAGCTGGATGGATGCTGGGGCGGCTCTGGGTGCGTTTCTCGGTCTGGACTGAAGCCGCCGCAGAGTTTGTCGCCCTGTTTCTTGGCTGTTTTTCTTTGCTTTGAAAAGCATCTTCCACACAAGGCTATGGCTACATTGGCAGTCCCTTCTACGCTCACCCAGACCCCGGAGACACCTCTTCTCCCTTACTGAGCAGAGTTGCTCTCAGGCCCCCAGGGTTGCTGCTCCTCTTCCTCCCTGCCCCAGCTGCCCTATGGAAGGTCCTGGGGAGAGCCTCTGAACCGGGTGGGTGCCTCCAGGGATACCAGAAAGGCTGAAAAATTGTCTTTTCTTGGCAGCAATGCTGGGGAAACAGAGGGAGGTGAGATGGACTTCCAACTGGAAAATGCCTTTTCTGCCCTCCTCTGTTGAAAACCACCCTACTGTGAATGTAATACTTTTTCCGCTGCTCTAGGAAATACAATAATAGGTTGCACATTCAAACCAGCTGCTCATTTATTTTTTCAACTGCCTCTGAAAAATGCTTGTAATTAGGAAAAATCTATAACAAGAAGTACAAACAAATCAAAGTCTGTCATTAGGCACAAAGAGTCGGTGATCTGCCTTAGCTACGGTTTTATTAAATTAGAATAATGAAGCAGAAGCTATACAAAGAAAAACAAGTGCTTTGGAAAGGTCTGAAAATATATAGCCATCAGTTTAGAAAACACATTTTCAAATCTAAACGTGGAGCTGGAAACATGTTAGCTTGTGTTGTTCTAATACCTCCTTCTGTAAGGCTGCGTGAGCCTTAAAGAAATACCCAATAAAAGGGAAATAGGAGGAAATATTCTCTAATATTTTAAATTTAAACTGCGGAACGGGCAGAACCAGTCCCAGAGCAGATCCCTATAGGACTCGGAGGTGGCTCCAGGGTGTCCCCATCAGCAGCGGTGCTGGCAGAGCTTTGGCCATGGCAGTGGCCAAAGGCAGTGGAGAGGCTGTGCCATGTGGGACTCAAAGACAGTGGTGGCACTATGGATTTGCCTCATCTCCTTTGGGACATTTAACCCCCCCTGCAGAAATGCTCTGCTCGTGCACGAGAGACATCAACAAGTGATGTGCATCAGAGCAGTGGGGACACGGGGCGAGGAGAGCAAGGGGATGGTATCTGTACCATGTCACGCCTCTGGTCAGAGCTTCAGGGTGGAAATGCTCTTCCATAGGTTTTATTTCTGCAGGAAAGGTGTTTTCCTGGCTCTGGTGCAGACCAGGCTCAGCAGCCGTAGCCTGCAGATCTTCCTGTTCATTCCTTGGATCCGTACTTACTCCATACAATATCTGGACTCATGCAGAAGTGTTGAAGACCTTTGTGGCCCCAGGGACAAAATGCAGGGAGGTGGCTTGAGGTCACTGCTGCCGAAGGACCTGTTTTCTTGCAAGTACTAGAATAAGCCAGGAGAGGTTGTGCCAGGGGAGGTTCAGATAGGATATTAGGAAAAAATTTTACACTGAAAGGGTTATTAAGCACTGGAATGGGCTGCCCAGGGAAGTGGTTGAGGCACCATCCGTGGAGGTGTTCAAAAGACAGGTTCACATAGTGCTTAGTGACATGGTCTAGTGATAGTTTTTTATCGGTTAGGTTGATGGTTGGACTAGATGATGTTAAAGGTCCCTTCCAACCTAGACATGTCTATGATTCTAAGCCAGTTTCAATGCATTTCACTGTTTCGAAGTTCATTTTTTCTCACCCATTTCTTTTAATAACCACCATATGGTAGTTTGTTGCATTCAAAAATGAAACAAAAATGACCTTGCCATTATGAGCAGAAAAATACTTTCAGAAGCCTTCACCTGTGTGCTTTCTAATGTGTAGTTGTGAGCTGAAAAAGTAAGCCTTTCCCTTAATGCTCCTTTTTTTCTGCTGCTGCTCCTGGCTCTGGTAGATGGGAAAGGTGCCCTGGCTGGACCCTGGAGCACCACCCAGCCCTGTCAGCCCCTCAACCCTGCGCTCCTCAGCGGAGCAAAAACTGCACTTAACAGGGATCTGCCATCAGCCAGCCCTGCTGGAGACAGCTCTGCGAAGGAATGTTTGTTTATTGCTTCAGCACCAGCCACAAAAAAAAACCCTAAACCCAGATAATTGAATATTCATCTTCTGTGAATT